CGTGCTTTCCAGTGTGAAACACCTAAATCAACAAATCTAAGAATGGATCATCCACAAACTGATTCTCGAGCACACTTTAGTGAGCAAGGAAGATATGCATCTGATAGCTGGAACATGCCAAAAGATTCTTCATTTTCTGTAGATAGGTATGGTCTTTCTTCTGCTCCTGTAGAGAGGGAACAATATGTTCCGAGGATTATCGAGGTGACGTACACTGAAGGTTCAACCGACCAAAAGTGGAGCAGCCGTGATTTCCCATGGACGAGAAAATTGGAGGTGATTTGCGGAGTTTCTATATTTCTTTATTCACTTACATACCATGTGTTCATGTGTTTCCTTGCAACTTTCAGGTCAGTAACAAAAAAGTATTTGGAAATCACTCGTTTCGACCTAACCAGAGAGAAATCATCAACGCAACAATGAGTGGCTCTGATGTATTTGTGTTGATGCCAACTGGAGGAGGAAAGAGTTTGACGTATCAGGTCATTATACTTTAAACATTATTTAATAATGTGACTTTGTTTTTCACTGACATAGCGTATACGCCTAAGCGATGGAAGTTTCAGGTTGTGTTCTTCAAACTGTTTTCTAACATCTTTCTTTTGCAGCTCCCTGCTCTGATCTGTCAAGGAATAACCTTAGTAATTTCTCCACTCGTCTCACTTATACAAGACCAGATAATGAACCTATTGCAGGTGAACATTTCAGCAACCCTCAGAGACTCTATTGTTTCTTATGTTTCATTGATAAATTATTCATATATAGGATTATTTTAATATTTCCATTTTACAATTTGATTTCTGAATCATGGTTACAGGCAAATATACCCGCTGCTTCCCTAAGTGCTGGCATGGAATGGTCTGAACAACTAAAGATATTTCAGGAGCTTAGTTCCGAGCATTCGAAGTACAAACTACTATATGTCACACCCGAAAAAGTGGCACAGTGAGTTGTTACTTTATTTATACAAAATCCTCTCTTTTTTTTTATTTGTTTTGTATCATGGCCTATGATAAATGCAGTTCTACCACAGCTTTCTTATAATTCTAGATTAGGTATTAGCATTTTGTGGACAAGTGCAAGGGTTACCACAATAATGATATTACTGGTAAAACGTAGCTAAGAAGTATCTCTTTCATGATTGCAGAAGCGATTCTCTTCTGAGGCATCTAGATAACTTAAACTCTCGTGGTTTGCTTGCTCGATTTGTTATTGATGAAGCTCATTGTGTGAGCCAATGGGGGCATGACTTTCGACCAGACTACCAGGTTAGGCCAATAAAAGCTTCAAACATGGCACTCTCTTACCTTTTCGAGAAACATAACCTTCCTTTTTACTCACCAAGAATATTGTTTATTTTGCAGAGTCTTGGTATTCTGAAGCAGAAGTTTCCCAACATTCCCGTGTTAGCGTTAACAGCTACCGCAACAGCCAGTGTGAAGGAAGATGTTGTACAAGCCCTTGGCCTTGTTAACTGTGTTGTGTTCCGGCAAAGTTTTAATCGCCCAAATCTATGGTCAGTAAATCTACCTAAAAGCAAATATATGTTCGAGAATTCTGCTTACCAAGAAATTTGCAGGTATTCCGTTGTTCCCAAGACGAAGAAATGTGTGGAAGATATTGACAAATTTATCAAGGAAAACCATTTTGATGAATGTGGAATCATATATTGTCTTTCAAGAATGGACTGCGAGAAAGTCGCTCAAAGGTTACAGGTTGGTTATTTGTATACTGAAGCTTTCTCATGTCCTGTGCATAAATATCATGTTTGATCGTAGAATTGGATACTATTTCAGGAGTTCGGTCATAAAGCAGCATTCTACCATGGCAGTATAGAGCCTACTCAACGTGCTTTAGTACAGAAACAATGGAGCAAGGACGAAATCAATATAATATGTGCTACCGTGGCCTTTGGAATGGGTATTTGTTTTTGCTTATGTTTGTTTTAATTGATGGAATTTTGCTGCTCATTAACATTGCACATTCCAGGAATCAACAAGCCTGATGTCCGCTTTGTTATTCATCACTCGCTCCCGAAGTCTATAGAAGGCTATCATCAGGTTTTTAATTGTTTTGTACATTCAATCATGAAAACCGTGTTTAAGTAGTTGCACACAAAGATACTCACATAAGCTTCTTTTTTTTTATATAAAAAAAAAGGAATGTGGTCGTGCTGGCAGGGATGGGCAGCGGGCATCTTGTGTTTTGTATTATGGTTATGGCGACTATGTAAGTTGCATTTTTATTATCGTACTGTTTTTTTCCCCATCTTTCTGCTCTTGGTTATGTTTATGAAACACAATATTATTTCAGATACGAGTTAAGCATATGATTAGTCAAGGAGGAGTTGACCAAAGCCCTATGGCCAATGGTTATAATCGTGTACCAAGTTCAGGGAGGTTACTTGAAACGAACACTGAAAACCTTCTCCGCATGGTATTTAACTTGAAGGTTCCTATTATTTGCTTTCGAAGTTATAGTTGCTGATATATTTCTCCGAAATTTTATTGCTTCAGGTTAGATACTGTGAAAATGAGGTGGACTGCCGACGTTTCCTACAACTGGTCCATTTTGGGGAAAAGTTCGACTCCACAAACTGCAAAAGAACGTGTGATAATTGTTCCAGTAGCCAGAGTTTGATTGACAAAGATGTCACTCTGATTACAAGGCAATTGGTAAAGGAACTATTTAAAGTTTCATCATGTATATCTCACTTGTTGGATGTGTTGTTATTAATCACGTGTGCATTGTATAGGTTGAGCTGGTGAAGCAAACAGGAGAAAGGTTTTCTTCATCTCATATTCTTGAAGTCTACAGAGGTTCCTTAAACCAAATGGTATGTACAAAATAAAAACAATCCCCAACTCTTACAAGCTTTAGGAGATATTTTATATCCATATATTTCATTTCGCATCCAGATTCTGCTAAAACCTAAACCATGTTCCTCATAAATCTTGCTCTCTTTTTGTACTTGGTACGAATTGTTAGTGAAAACCTTGGCTTCTCACTCCTGGGAATCCAATTAATGTCGCTCGATCTCTTGAAAAATAACTGTCTTGGTTGCATGTAGGTTAAGAAAAACAGACATGAGACTTTGCAGTTCCATGGAGCTGGAAAACATTTATCGAAACTTGAAGTCTCTCGTATCTTACACTATCTCGTCACAGAGGACATTCTTGTGGAAGATGTTAGGAAAAGTGATATGTACGGATCCGTATCATCGTTGCTCAAGGTACTTAAATTGTTAATATTTTCCACTTCGCTTCTCCCTCTCATTAATTCCTTTTATATGCACATAACCTTCATTCCTGAAGATGTTAACGTCTTACCTATCTGCATCTAGGTGAATAAATCAAAGGCTGCTTCACTCTTTTCTGGAAGCCAGACTATAATGATGAGGTTTGACTTTTTTGCTTGAGATATATCTTTGTAGTAACGTTCACATAAACTAGGTTCAAGCAAATCGTTGCAATTAGCTATGTTTAATGTGTTATTAGAAGATAACTTGAGCTAAAACTTCCATGTTCTGTTTCAGATTCCCTTCTTCTGTAAAAATATTAAAGCCCTGTAGAGCCGCGGCAACCCCTGCAAAAGCTCCTTTAACAACAACAGATGCTCCTCCAGAAGATGTGGTATATAACTTTGTAGTTTAATCTCCATTTTCCTGTTGAGATTAATCTACCACTTTGAATAGCTGAGTGGTTGGTTCATTGATCTTTTCTCTGTAGAATCTCTCCGCCATCATGTACATAGCCTTGAGGAAGCTTCGTACGCTTCTTGTCAAGGAAGCCCCTGACGGTGTCATGGCATATCATATATTTGGGTAATTCTGAAAACCATTCCTCTCCATAATCTTCCAAATTCTTTACTTGATCATGGTCAATATGTTGTTTGTGGTGGTTGCAGCAACGCAACGCTTCAGCAGATAAGCAAGAAAATTCCGAGAACCAAAGAGGAACTCCTCGAGATAAATGGCCTTGGGAAGTAAGTCTTCAAAACATGTAGTTGTGATCATTACAAAGGCAAAGTGAAGAGGTTGATGATGAATGTGTGTATCTCTTTTAAACTTTTCTTTCAGGGCCAAAGTAACCAAGTACGGTGATCGTTTGTTGGAAACAATAGAGGCAACTGTCAACGAGTACAATGGAACTAGCAAGAAAGACTCCATGATTAGTCCGGATTCAGGGAAGAGGAGAAGAGACGAGAACATTAGTCCGAATGTAACCGAGGAGGATGATGATTTCGCAGAGAGCTCAAGCCAGTCTTGCAAAAAAACGGTGAGAAGCAAAAGCAGTGAGTTTCATTATGGTGAATGTGTAGATGGAGATGGAGTAGGTATGGTTATGGAGAAGCTAGATTTTGATTTTGAAGACGAAGATGGTTCGGAGATACGACCAGAGGGAAGAGTATTACCTTGGTGAAGAAGTAACCATTGTGAAATGTTAAATTAAATATGATGTAAACTTCTTTGGTCTACTCGGTGATGTACCTTAATGAGCTTCGTTTCTATGCTAAAAGACTTTAAATATAAGATTAACAAAGGAAGGCATGTAAATTTCATGCTTCTCTTCTCCTAACTAAGCTGTTGATTACAAAAATTGCGGCAGGATAGCGTAACCCTCAATAGGGATTGTGAGCTGGGCTTAATACATTACTCTTCTTCGGCTTCTGGTCCTAAAATAACAATTATTTTAAAAGAAAAAAAGCCGTAATAAAACCAAAACCCTAAAATTTCTAGCTATTGTAATAACGCTCACATTCCTTCATCTTCTCACAACAGGTCTTCTTCTTCACCCCTGCTTAATTTAATTTCTTTCATCTTTCATCTTTCACCTTTAGATTTTCCTTTGCTTTCGTCTTGTCACCGTTGTTCTTCAAAAACTTAGTGAAACTTTGCATTTTTCTCTGAGAAAGTAAGTTTTGCTACATGTTTCATAATGAATTACTTATGTCATTTTTTTCTTCTGTACAGAAACAAAGAGAATCTAGTATCAACATCGATGGGATCATCTTCTAATCACATGGTATAAATGGTAACATTAGTGTTATGGTTTATGTCTAAATATTGTATCATCTTATATGGTGTTTAATTTACACAGGTCAGTCTCTTGAAGATTGACTCTCCTGCGTCCGGATGGGTGAAACCCTTGAAAGATTTGCTCAATACCATTGATGGTTTCATATTCTCTCTCTTTATTTACTTATTATCATTTTCTTAATATTAGTTTATAGATTTAACCATTTTACATATACACAGATGTTGATTTCAAGATAGACAAACGAAGTAAAACGGTATACATATATGGGAAAACTAATCCAGAGACAATACTTGAAAAGATTGCAAAAGCAGGCCAAAAAGCTGAAATTGTGTGGAGCAATCACGAACGCAAGAAGCCTCTAGACAATCAAAGAGGACATCAGATGCAACAATGCAACAGCAATTACTATCAACAATACAATGGTCTTCCTCCTCCTCCACCACAAAACTGGAATATGTACCAACAACCTCTACCGTATCAAAGTTATGCTCTTCCACCTCCATATCCATTTCCGCTTAATCCCCAGCCTCCACTGCCAGTACCTGCTGGTGGTGGCCAGCAGAAGGAGCCTGCGGCTAAGGGTTTCCCTCCTACGCCACCTCCACCTAAGAACTTTACTATGGGTGATTTACATCTAGGATGTGGGATCATGTGAACCGTAATGGTTTTTTTCTTTTCTTTTTGTTTGTCATTCATAATCTAATTAGTCAAAAGAATCATAATGAGTTTTTTTTATCATTCATGACTTTTTTGTTGTTGCTATTGAATTTTTTAAAATATAAGACAGATTTTTTGTTTGATAGCTTGAATACAGTGCCAGATACAATGGTCAAGTATCTTGTGATATTACTTTGTTTAGTCTGGTTAGTTAGTTTCTCAATGTTTTTTTACGTCTACTATATAATATCTTACAGTTTATTGTGTTCATATATTAAAGCAAATATTCATGAAAGCTTGCAAAACATAAAGGTATAGAAAAAGAAATGTCACTCATTGCAAACAAGTGGTTTGACTTTGACAGGTTCGAAGATTTTAATGTAAAAGAGTCAGTTTAGTATAATGTAACATACACATGATTAGTGTTTTTATAATCCAAGCAAAAATGAAGCAATCTGCATGAGAGGTTCCCTCGTTGTATATTATTTCAAGTGCTGTTTATTTTAGTAGTAGATAGCGCAGACTCCCAACAGCATCTGCTTGTTTAATAGTATAAGTTGGCAAGATGGTCAACTTACTTTGCGTGCAAACCAAGTTAGAAAAATACTTCTTAACTATGTAGTCTTGGAGTCTATATATCAAAGTACTCTCAACCCTCTCCATCATCTAACTCAGATAACAGTTGTAGTAAACCCCTATCTAAAAACTTTTCTTGCTTTATTTCTGCCAAAGGTATGGAGGTCACAAAAACTAGCAGAAAGAAGACTAACGGTAATGTAGGACATCTGGATCTTGATGAAACCAAGAAGAGGAACCAATACAGCTTTTCGAAGTCTATAGAAGAGAATGAGAAAATGGTAGAGGAGATGCAACAACAAATGCTTGAAATCCAAAGAAAAATTACAGAGAAAAAGGTATATACATGTTTGTTTATAAATCAATCTCTACCATATATATGTAGATAAGCTGGTGAAAAACTTATGATTTTTTTATTTATTTTAAGTACAGATATATCATGAAAAAGCCATCTCTACACTGAAATACAACATGCGTTCCGGATGGATTTATAATGAAAAATGGGCATGGATCGAAGATGACCAGTACACTTACCAATCAGATTGTCTTAAGAAGATGGAGCTAGACAAGTTAACTTTCGCTAATAACGCATATCGTGACAAGAAAGCTGTTGTATCATTCTCTTCTGGGAAACGAGAGATTAACATCCATGTTAGAAAATACTAATCTCTAAATACCCTTTTTATTGATCATATTAAATGTTTTTATACGAAGTCTGATTTATATTATGTTACACAGAACCTAAACCATCGGATGTTACACGAGGCAAAAAGCATGAATGGTGAGAGAGGCCTTCTCAAGATGCTGAATCCAAGCGAAGATGAGTTTTCTATTAAACAAATTGAAGATCAGGTTAAGTGTTATCATATGTGTTGTTGATATTGATGTGTTTTTATCTTATACATGGTAACCTCTTCAAATTAATATTTTATAAATTAATATACACTAAAATCTCTATTAAATCATATAGTTTTATAGTTTCAAATTGAGTTTTTGATTCAATTAGTATATCAATAAATCTCTAGTTTCTATAAATTAATAAAAATTATAATTTTGGTGTAATTCCAACATTATTAATTTATACAAGTTTCACTATATATGCATTTTAATCGGTTTATTTCTCTAGAACAGATGTGGAAGTTACAAAGGTGGATACAATGGCCAGAATATAACAATAATCCAGGGACAATGGATAGAGAAGAATGTGAGAGAAAGGTAAAAGAACTTGAATGGGAGAAACATCAAGGATTTGTTAATGCTCCTTGTAAAGCTTCTCTATGGAGTTCATTACCTTCTACCAAAACCTTACGCAACCAGATCCAGGTCTAACCGATTTTGAATTTCTTGGTTAGAGAGAACTAACCGTATTTGATTCGGTTTAGAGAAATACCAAGTTCTGATTTAATTTGGTTATTTTATATTTGTGTAGGCTATAGAGACAAGAGATGAAGAAAAGAGGAAAATGGTTTTGGTAAGAAGAAAGAAGATAGAGTCAAAGGAAAGAAAGATAAAGAAGGCTGAGAAGGAGATCAAGTCTATGAATGAAATGATGGAGATGATAAGCAACAGGAAGCAGAGAGCTTTGGAAACCATTTCACACCAAAAGAGTTGTCTAGTAAAAACTTAAAACCACAATTCTCTAACTATTTACTCTCATTGTAAAAATGTTCAATAAATCTTATATATTAAAACATAAGTCATGACTTGACTTCATGTGTGATTTCTTTTTTAAAATGGGTTATTACTAGAAAGTTATGTTACATTAACTCTCTAATAATCTTATCATTATTATATCTTATGAAAGTCATATTTATAATAACAAAGATACGCTTAACAATTTGGTTTTGGTAAATTACCCCACACCTTCCAACTTAGTCACGCAAAATATATCAATAGATATAAGTTTAGGAATCTTGTATTATTTATAAGGAAATATGTCAATAATAGTTAAATGCATCCACAATATATTAATAAAATCACATATTCGTAATATGGAATATTTATATACCCTAACAAAATTTACACGCTATATATACTAGATAAATTTATTTCGATGTAAATTTTTAAAATTATATTGTTTAAAAAAAATTATTTTTAATAAAATTCTTTATAATATTTAATTTATGAAGCTATAAGTTTAGTTTTTAGCAAAAATTTCTTCGAAGTTTATATTATCTTTGCAAATTAAAGTATACTAATATTTAATTAAGCTCTATTTATATTACTTTATCTAAAAATGAAATACCAAACTAACAAACAATAAAATATAGAAGAAGAAACAAACATATGTTTGAAAAACATGTATAATATAAAAAATTTGAAACAATTTATGTGATTAAAATACGCATTATATAATATTATTATGTTTGAAAAACATTTACTATACATATCGTAGATATGTGATTACTATAATATATACCAATTTACAAGTGAAAACAAAATGTTTATATAACTAACTATAAACGAAAACAAATATCCGCGCAGTTGCGCGGGTCAAAATCTAGTTTACATTAAAAATAAAATAAATGAATGTTGGCATGTCTAGTGAAATCTTTTCACATGTTGAATGATTAAATAAACCTCTGTCCTTATCATTCGAGGTGCACTAATAATTGACTAAAAACTACTATTTTAAAAAGACTTTGGGTTGTATTATCCATTAATTGTGTTTCCTAATAAAAAATAGTAAAAGATACGTAGGAGGGTATATTTGTAAATATACAGAAGGTTGTGGATACTACTGTCCTGTCTGGCTGTTTCTTAAACAATCACCGTCAGACAAAACATCACCAAGTGAAAACGCTTCTGGATCTTGTCTAGATCCATTTCAAACCGAATCAGAAAGCAAAAACTCGGTCGTGATTCGAATCTTCACTGTTTGGTCTGAAAGCCTCTTCCTTTCTTTTGTTGTCATTCATCAATGGCTGCCTTTATCAATTTGGAGGATTCCCCAATGTTTCAGAAACAGGTGAAGATTTTGAAAATTTAACCTTTTTTGAAATTTTAAATATAAGCTTTTCTGCTGTAAGAATTATGAATTTTATTGTCTTGTGTCTGCTGCTTTGATTTGGTTTGGATTCAGGTTTGTTCATTGGAAGGAACAGCTGAAGAGCTTAAAGATCGTTGTCTGAAGCTATACAAAGGTGTTCAGAAGTTTATGTATGTGTTTCTCTTTATCTATCCTTTTTCTTAATCTCATTGCCTGAGCTTCTCTATTGATATAAGATTCTAAGAATACCATTTGTGGCATATATTTTCTGAAAGTGAAAATTGGAGAATTGATATGAAGTAACATTTTGTCTCTTCTCTTAATTAATTATCAAACGAGTGAAAGCTATTTGAGCATTAAATCTTTGTTGATTGCTTTTCAATTTTCATGTAAAATCTTCTTTGATTATGACATTATTATGTATATATTGTTAACTTTATTATGACTTGCTTTCTTTTGCAATTTCATCTATTTTTGTTGTGTCTCACTATTTTGTTGATTTTGTCTGTCCACATTTTATTGTTCTTTTACAGGGGAGTTTTGGGAGAAGCATCCAAAGGAGAAAGTGCCTTTGCAGATTGTCTGGCTGAATTTGGGGCTGGACATGATGATCCTATTAGTCTTTCAATTGGAGGTTCGTCTTCAGACATTCTTTCAGTTTATGTTTGTTCTCCTTGTCATAGTTACTCCTAAGAGACAGTGGTAGTCTCAACTGTTTGTTTGTTATTCTTGTATGTGACACCAGGTCCTGTAATATCCAAATTTATAAATACACTTCGAGAGCTTGCCTCTTATAAGGAGTTCCTTTGCTCACAGGTATGCTCATAGGCTCAATAGTATCGTGTGAACTATAAATAAATGCCAGTAAACTAAATACTAAGATGCCTATCATCATTGAGAGCAATTTTATTTTGGTAATTTGAACCAAGATGTGGTTAACATAGTGTCCAGGTTGATTCAGTGTCTTTTTTTTATAACAGTTGTGGTAATTTTCTTGGGAAAATTTTGTAGGTGGAGCATGTGTTACTTGAGAGGTTGATGAACTTTATCAATGTTGATCTACAAGAAGCTAAGGTATTCATTTTTTTTCTCTGCTATATATGTTCCTGAACATATGACAACTGAAAAGTGTTTCTTATGTCCTGCACCTCACTTAGACGTACATGATCGAAAAACTCAAGCTGTCGTTTTCCAATCAATCACTATTCTGTTTCTACCTTTGTAGGAGTCTCGCCAACGATTTGATAAAGCTGCTCATTCGTATGATCAGGTACTTGGCTACAGAGTCTATATAACTTCCTTTGGTTCTTGTGCATACAGCTGTACTCGATATTCTTGATCTTAAGTGGTGTAATGAGTTTTCTTATCTACTTGTAGTCACGCGAAAAATTTGTCTCTTTAAAGAAGAATACGAAAGGAGAAATTGTTGCAGAGCTGGAAGAGGTAGAACATTTATTTCTTATAATTATTTGACACACTCTGTGTTTTTTTCACTGCATGATAACTTACTTGTGGTGTATGATTTGAATGATAGGATCTGGAGAACTCAAAGTCAACATTTGAGAAGAGCCGTTTCAATCTAGTATGCTACCCTACTAACAGAAGCCATTACCATTTACGTTCAACATTTGTACTTGTGATTAAATTATTGCTTTGGTTGAAGAATTCAGGTCAATTCATTGATGACTATTGAAGCTAAAAAGAAGTATGAGTTCTTGGAATCTATAAGTGCAATTATGGATGCTCATCTGAGATATTTTAAACTTGTAAGGTCTCTAATTATTTTGAATCCTTGCCATGTGAAACCAACTAAATCTGACATCTGGGGTCTATTTTTTCAGGGATATGACTTGCTTGGTCAATTGGAACCATATATCCATCAGGTACAAAACTTGTAGTCAACTTGATATCCTAATAGTTTAGATGGACAGAACTTAGTGTCTGCTATTAGGTCTTTGAATGATTGTTTTCTCTAGTAAACATGTGATGTGGTATAGCCAAAGTTTCCTGATAACTATATAGTCCACTGAAGCTGATACTTGTGACTCTTACAGATATTAACATATGCGCAACAATCAAAAGAACAGTCGAAGATTGAACAAGATCGACTAGCAAGGCGCATTCAGGAATTCAGAACACAGTCTGAGTTGGACAGCCAACAACTTGCAGCTAACGCAGAGGTCTCTGGTGTTAACGGAAACCGTGTTGTTGGAACTATCCCTTATAAAAATACTGAAACAAGTTTAACAGCAGACAAGGAAGTAAGTGTTTCCCAATGCAGTTATGCAGCATAGAGAGACTTGTTCTATGATCATTTCACACTTCAATTTTTTAGAACCGGCTGAATTTTGTTCTTGTCTTACAAGGTTTCCATTTTTCGGACCGATGCAGGTAATTAAACAAGGGTATTTATTAAAGCGATCATCAAGTCTGAGAACTGATTGGAAAAGGAAGTTTTTTGTCCTTGATAGTCATGGTTCCATGTACTATTACAGAAACAATGGCAATAAATCAATGGTACGTGTGCGCAGACCTCTTTTATTTCCTGCCTCAACTCCATGAGAGACGTTCATAATGTCTTTACGTTTCTAAGCTGCCCATTCTCAGGGATCTCAGCATAACTATAGTGGTTCATCTGACCATCATACTGGCGTCTTTGGTCGGTTTCGTGCAAGACACAGTAGATCAGCTTCTCTCACTGAGGGCGGCTTAGGCTATAAAACTATCGATCTACGCACTTCTTTGATAAAGTTGGACGCAGAAGACATGGATCTTCGGCTCTGTTTCAGAATCATTTCTCCTCAAAAAACCTACACACTTCAGGTAACCCGCTGCAACAGACTTAGAATATTTATACTGGTTCATTCTTCCCATGATCCAAGTACTCAGAGTACTAACAGAAAGGATTCACCTGCCTTATCAGGCTGAGAATGGAGCAGATAGGATGGACTGGGTAAACAAAATTACAGCAGCTATAGGGACGCTTCTAAATTCTCATTTTCTTCAACAGGTTTGACACAACAGGCTTCTCTTTTATTTACAAACTGGATTGATAGGGAAGTTTCTTGTTGATAAAACATATCGTTTATTTAGTCACCAGGTCAATACTTGGATAAAGATTACAGTGGTTCTGCTCCTGCTGAAGGTGTCGTTTCCCTAAATCAAAGTCGACATAACGATGCAAGAGGAAATATTGGGGACGAAGTCTCCACAATACTCAGAGGAATCCCAGGGAATAATGTATGTGCAGAGTGCAATGCTCCTGACCCTGACTGGGCATCATTAAATCTTGGAGTTTTGTTGTGCATTCAATGCTCTGGTGTTCACAGGAACCTCGGTGTTCATATATCCAAGGTATGATGAAAGTCAGCATCGTTGTAGTTATAGCTTTTGAAGTGATTTTATCTCTGAGGGCATAGATTTTTTACACCACAAACTGCAGGTGAGGTCCCTCACATTAGATGTGAAAGTGTGGGAGCCAACGATCTTGGACTTATTTCGAAATTTGGGAAATTCGTATTGTAATTCACTGTGGGAAGGACTACTCCACCTAGAAGATGACTGGTATGATTCCTAAAGATTTATAGTTTGTATTTCCAAAAAAAAAAAAAAAATCAGTTACCAAACACTGCATGTAGCTGAATCTGATCAGGTAGAATGTTCTACTTTGTGCAGTGAAAATGGATCAACATTGTCACATACTTCAGTTTCTAAACCATGTCCAGAAGATTCCTTTACTGTGAAGGAGAAATACATTCTAGGGAAGGTAATGTATTAATGAATTATATTATATGATTTGTGATAGGTACAAGTCTATATCTGATTGATGATTGATTTGTGCTTGTGCTAGTACCTAGAGAAAGCATTGGTGATCAAAGATGAAAGCAAAGGAAACCCTTCCGCTTCAAGTAGAATTTGGGAAGCTGTTCAAAGCAGAAACATAAGAGCAATCTATAGACTCATAGTGACTTCAGGGGATGTGAGTATCATCAACACCAAGTTCGATGACATAACTGATATTGATGCTTATCACCATGCTGACGCATCAGAGCAAGCAGTCAAGAAAAGACATGATCCATCAATGTGCCAGAGAATCAAAGACTCAAACGAACCAGGAAACTGTCTTCAAGGCTGTTCCTTGCTCCATGTGGCTTGTCACATTGGGGACAGTGTTTTGCTGGAACTGTTGTTGCAGTTTGGTGCTGACTTAAACGTGAGAGATTACCACGGAAGAACTCCATTACACCACTGCATAGCTTCAGGGAACCACAAATTCGCAAAGATTCTACTGCGAAGGTACATTTTTAACATTTCAGGAACCCTCTCTTTCTTGTTCATGCTGTCTTGAATTTGTTTGTATAAATGCAGAGGAGCACGTCCATCGATAGAGGACGATGGAGGGCTAAGCGTGCTGGAAAGAGCAATGGAAATGGGAGCTATAACCGATGAGGAGCTCTTTCTTCTCCTAGCCGAGTGTGCTTAAACCAACACTGGACAGGTTCATTAGAATCGCCTCTGAACTTCGAGGACACCAAAATGCAAAAAAGTGTGAGATGCTTCAGTTTACTACAACTTCACTAATAGAATTTTCTTTAGGAATATAAAAGGAAAAATTGTCAAAAAGAATTTCAAATTTTACATTTCTCTACGAAAACTTTTTCTTTTTGGTTGCACTGAGTGACATTTTTTCTTTATATATAGCTGTATGTTTTGCTATTATAAATGAACATAATAGATTGTGATAATTTAAGATGTATATACGTAAAAACATACAGAATCTAGTTAACTAACTAACCATGCAGACACTGAAACAGACGAAAATGAAACATGTTGGTAAATAATAAATGTTACTGAGCCTCCAGCACAATTAAACCGGAAAATGCTGAGACAGTTTTGCTTTAAGTTTAACACAAACCGAAATGAAATTTGGTTAAAGTATTTCGGGTTCTATTCGGTTAACGATAATTGTATAACCGAACCAAAATTTACCAATGGACAAGACAGGCCACCACTTTTCTACAAAGCCAAAACTTAAAAGAAAACTAAACCCTGTCGCTCTTCTTCAACGTTGATCCGTCGCCGGTAAAATTAGTAACCCTCATCTTCTTTCTTTTTGAGTCTTTGAATATTTTTGTAGTATTTTCTTCCTTTATGCTAGTGATCCTACTCTTTTGAGTTATTTTTAACATGTGATTAAAAACATAATTTGGTTCGCTTAGTTAAAGGAAAGTTTCAGATTATGTGTAGAGTTGGTGAGTGTTTACACTAGAGCTTTATCTATTGTTGTGTTTTTCACAACACACCAAGCAACTGCACTGAATTAAAAACTCATTTGAAAGGAACATTCTCTGTTGTAGACTATGGTTTGTTTGTACAGTAGAGCCAATCTCTTGTTTTTATTTTGATGCTCTATATATCCTGAAATCTCATTTGCTTGGGAACATGGGATGCACTTTTTGTATATGGGAACAGTTGAAAATGGCGAAGTCTTGCAAGGGTCTTGCTGAAGAGCTTGTCAAGTGTCTCAGTGATTCCATGTGTGTCAAGGTAATATGGAGCTACTGATTTTGCTTAAACTCTCTCTAGTGTATGTATTTACAACCTGTAAACTAATTACCAGTTGCCTTCATTTTGGATACTTGTTGTATAGGACGAGAAACGGTCAATTAGGGACTGCGCTGGTGAGAAAAGCCCATGTATACCCAGCGAGTGTGTTGGCCTACGAGAAACTTACTTTAATTGTAAAAGAGGACAGGTTGGTTTTCTTTTCTCCACTTAAAAGAGTCATTTTGTACACCAAATCCAAATCCATTGTGATAAAATGTAATTTTTGAATCATATATATTGATGTTTAGATGATAGGAAACGCTAACAGCCAAAGATCAAGCATGCTTGTGAACACTTAAAACATTGTTAGATTCAACTCTCTTGAACTAATTGGACATCGTGTATGTGTTTCCTGTAGGTAGACATGAGAGCCAGGATTCGAGGAAACAAAGGCTACTAACTGAAGAGATACATATCAGCCACTGATGAGAGCACCTGCTTGTTTGATATCACATTTTTGTTACAAACTTGGTTACTTTACTTGCCATGTCAATATCAAGTTAGGCTTGTTCCTATACTCTCAGCTTGAGTTCTCTTCCCTATTTAAAAGTTGTATGACATGGGACTAGATGCAGTTGTATCCCTCCTTCTCGCTTAAAGAAAGAGTACAAAAAAAAAAAAAAAAAACTTTCTTCAGTTGAATCTCTCAAATTTAACCAATAGCATTAAAGGATCCATATGCTCTCAATTTCTGTTGTAACTGACATTAAAAAACATTTAGGGTCAATCACGAATAAACTCTCAACTTCGAGGGCTATTTTGAAAAGTTTAGTTTCTTATCGAAACGTTAGTTAGCCCTATCAAACAGACTCTTTCTCTCCGCCGGCAAAAAGAGTACAACGCCGGAGGCTTCATCATCAGCGTTGATCATCATTCAATGGCAACCAGTAAGCAAAACTTTCCTATCGTATCTGTATTTAACCGATTTCTAACAATTTCAATTTATTCGCTGAGTGATTTGGTTCTACAGTGGCTAGATCGTTTCTGCAGGCGATATCCAAGGACGAAGCGGTTGCTCCTCCGCTCAGAGTTGTTCAGATCGAAGGACTGGTAATCTCATATTCATCTCTGCTTTTGTGAGTTTCAGATTCTGAGGATTTTGTTCATGTGTGTACAGGCTGTGTTAAAGATCATCAAACATTGCAAGGAGTTTGCACCAACGCTTGTCACAGGGCAGCTTCTTGGACTTGATGTTGGTAGTGTACTTGAAGTCACTAATTGCTTTCCTTTTCCAGTAAGTTTTTTAAGAGAGTTTATTATGTGCATTGTGGTATAAGAATGTTGCTGTAGCATTTTGTATGATTTGATGTATCGTGTAGGTAAGAGATGAAGATGAAGAGATTGAAGCTGATGGTGCTAATTATCAGCTTGAGATGATGAGATGTTTGAGGGAGGTTAATGTTGATAACAACACTGTTGGATGGTAGGTTTTGATTTGTGGAATCTTGCTGAATTTGTTTTGTTGTGGAATGTGATAAGATCTTGTATAAGTTTTGTTTAGGTATCAATCCACGGTGCTTGGATCTTATCAGACTGTAGAGTTGATTGAGACCTTCATGAATTACCAGGTACTTTCCAGAATCCTTTTTACCATGTTTTTATGATGTAATACACTAGATTCTCGTAGTTTGAGATCTGTTATGGTCAATTACTTGATTGGAAACTGAGCCATTAGAAATATTTGCTGAGATTTTGTCTGCAAATCTGTTATAAATCCCTTGTTAGATCAGGATTTGATGCTTAAGAAATTATTTATTTTGCATCTATAGGAGAACATCAAGAGGTGTGTTTGCATCATATACGATCCCTCTAAAGCGGACCTTGGCGTTTTAGCTTTGAAGGCTTTGAAGCTTTCAGATTCCTTTATGGAGTTGTACCGGGCAGGAAACTTTACAGGGGAGAAGTATGTATTCTGATCTTTCAAAAACCTAGGTTTTATGAGCCACGTGAGATAGTTGTAGTGTTGAAAACACTATTTTTGACAGGTTGAGAGAGAAAAATTTCTCCTGGATGGATATTTTTGAGGAAATACCTGTAAGTCCCTAGAGCATTGCTCTTCTCTTTGACGCCTTTCTAGCTAATCTTATTAGTAACTATGCTAGAACTATTATTTAGTCGTAGGCTCGTAGCTTACTGTTAAAAAAGAGTGTGGTTTAATTGTCGATTACCTTCTTTTGACAGATCAAGGTTTCAAACTCTGCGCTTGTCAGTGCCTTTATGACCGAACTGGAGACTGATTCACCTGTCTCACAGGTACGATATTTGTATTTGGATTGAGATTCTCATTTTCTGTCAGTTTCCAAGTTTTGACCCTTGATTCTTCGAAATGTTCTCTTCTCTAGGGTGATTATGATCGTCTGCACTCATCAACGACGCCTTTTCTTGAGAACAATATGGAGTTTTTGATTAAATGCATGGATGATTTATCTATGGAACAACAAAAGGTATCTTTATGCAATATTCTATTTATTCTTCACTGTTATTAATTCCTTACCCTCGAACTATCTTAATGTAATATCTTCTTTTATTTTGCAGTTCCAATATTACTACCGGAATCTGTCTCGTCAGCAAGCGCAACAGCAAGCCTGGCTCCAGAAGAGAAGGTACGTCTCTTGATGGACAACTCTATATCTTCAGCAAAATCTATTTGCTCTTTTGTTTCGGGTTCTAGTGATTTGTTTGGCTTCCTCGTTCTTATCTTGGATGGTGATACAGTTTTTGGCAAGAGTAATGAATGTCCTATATAGAACATTTGCCTTCGGCTTTTAATTCTCTTGTTGATATTCCAAGTAACTCTTTGGCTAATAGGACGGAGAACATGGCTCGTAAATCAGCCGGAGAAGAGCCTTTGCCTGAAGAGGATCCATCAAACCCAATCTTCAAGCCGGTCCCTGAACCATCGAGGCTAGAGAGCTTCCTCATCACAAACCAAGTCTCAAACTTCTGCGGCCAAATCAATGGGTATGTTCTCTTGGTAACTCTTTACTTACCATTTCAAACTTTGTAAGAGACTGAAAACGACTCGACCCATTGATATGCAGAGTGGCTGGCCAGAACTTCAGCAGACTCTACCTGACCAAGGCGTTGCACGATAATTGAGTACAACACTACCCAAGTTTTTGCTCTTTAGAGTCGAGAAAGTGAAGGAGTTGGTGGTAGAACGGATACAGTATTTGTTTTGCGGGAAGTTCTTTTTTTTTGTGAAATTAAAAATACAAACCAAAATGGAAAACATTTGTCAACTCGTATGCATGACTTATTGATGAGATGTTTTTCATAATATAAAATGAGAAAAAGTCACAACACAGCACGAAACGTATTAAACATCGTTTTCTTGTTGTGTGTGTTTGTTTGTGTAGAGGATAAATTTTTGTTTAACAGATGCTGAAGGTTCAGGATTTATTTTGACAAAGATTACACTAAGATAAAAACAAACACAACAATTAACAGTGTTCAGAAACATTTAGCTAAACTTTTTTTTGTGTAATGTACAGGTGTTATGGGGACTCTGATGACAACCACCACCACTAATAGAAATTTTCTTCTTTTGATGCTGGTTAGTAGTTACAATCGAATAATGAACACTTTATTTTAAGAGATATGCAAAGATCTTGAATCAAATCTAGATTGATATGTTGTATCTAGATACTGATGCCTAGATGTCTCTAAAGTTAAATGTCACTGGTCTATTTCTACTTATAGAAGTTAACAAACTGTTTAATAAAGAAGCATAGGGTTATAAAATGTGTAATAAGAGAGTTTTCATCACTAAAGCAAATATAAAAAGAAATAAAGCTGAATACAACAAAACCAAAGTGCTTCTGCAAAAGACAGAACCAAACAATAACCAACACTTGCTGCTTAAAAACTCTCTCTCTCTCTCTCTCTGAGTAGCAACTTGGTGCGACACTCTCCTATCTTCTTTGCACATCGCTTCTTCTTCTAATCTTCCTTCCTGCAGCTCGCCAGAGCATCTCATGTTGTTTGTTTCCAAACCTAGTTGCACTCTTGTCGGTTGCATCTCAGATTGTGTCACCACCCGCGCAGATTAGGGATCTTATTTAGGATATCTACAGCTTCCAGAGTGGTCTATAAACTCCAAGGTGAATTCCTCATCTCATGCCCTTCCAGCTGTTTTTCTTTGCTTATTTAATCTCTCTTGGTTTCTCACTTGCTTACTCTGAGTTTTGAATTGGCTAAATCTCTTAAGTCTATATCTCTGTGAGCTATCCTCGCAGGTCATAGCTAGATTCAGTTTCCAATGGATAATCACTCATTGCCGCCGAGCACTAGCACCACCGGACTTGTGTTTCCATCTTTGGTGGCTGGAGGAGTCAAACCTGAAGCTGCTTTGGTCATGGACTGGTCTGCTGAAGAGCAGTATGTATTAGAGAACGGCCTAGCAAAGTAGGTATCTCTTTCTTGTGCATAGTTAACGTTTTGTATTTGGATATTTCCTTCCATTTGCTATTTTTCTAATCTACAAATGCAAAGTTTATTGTAAAGGGTTTAGCTTTTTCGTACTATGATCATATTTTCTATACATTTTGGAGTTGTTTTATGAGAAGTAGTGAGCACGTTATATTTCTTCCTCATGATGGACTATTAAAGTATGTTCCTTTGGAATAAAAAAGTATTCTCTTTGTGCTTCCATGAGATGTAAAAACAATGCATATTTGTTATCTCTAGGACTTGGGACCATTAGCCTTGTAGGTTACATGTCTAGAGTCTGTAGGTTGTTGCTTTGTTGGTTTCTATGCATAACATCTTTATTTTTCTGGATGCAGATTAAAAGATGAGCCCAAAATTTCAAAGTATGTAAAGATCGCTGCTGCTCTACCTGATAAAACTGTAAGGGATGTAGCTCTGAGGTGTAGATGGATGACGGTAAGTTTCGTAATGCTCTTCATGGTTTTTGGTTCTTTTTCTTTGAGTTGTTTGCACATTCCATGTTGTTCATGTGCTTTTGTTTATGAGAAGTAAAATTACCACTCTAGAGTCCCAGACTTCTTCCAAGGATATATCTATCTAATTACTTAGCAATTTCTAGTATTCCTTTTTTCAAATGGGATGTGGTTATCATGGAAGTAGTGATCCGAGGGATATTTCTATCACTGTTAAAAAGCATATGCTGAATATGATGGAATCAGCACCATGATGCAACTTTTGCCTATGTGCTTTGCGGTAAAGATAAAGTCCTACAAAAAAAAAAGCTGTAGGTTTTATTGAAGAAAAGCTAGATTGTGTAAAAGATGAGCAAAAAAAAAGAGAAATGACAAGTTTTGCTGACGCTAGACCTGTCTTTTTATATTAGCTTTGGAGTCCATGATTGTGAAGGGAATTGTTGGAAAAGGAAATAAACCTAAAGTTTAAAAAAAATATGATTTCTGCAATTATTCTGAAAAAAGATATTTGCTTTTGTGAGTGATGGCAGGGATCCCTATACTTTTTGGAGTCTAAGGAAATTTCATGTTGCCATGTTATCTTTGATTAGGGATTATAACACCTCCTGTGACAGGAGTTGTTTCTTTAAATGATTATTTTGCACACAACATATGGCTACACTGCTAAATGTTTGCATAATAAAGTGAAACAAAATGATTTGATGCAACTAAACAAGAAGTTCCACAAGTCCTCCTTTCTCTATTCATTAGTGCTTGTTGCCTTTATTTTATTTTTCATTAGATGATTATCTCTAAATATGTTGGCTTAAGACGTGCATATCTGTTATCACAGAGAAAACGGACAAAAAGAGAGAAAAACAGTGCTGGGAAGAACATTAGCAATAGAAAGGTATGATTGTCCATCGTGTCTAATTTACTATCTAATAACTTTAATATCAGTATCTAAAGTTGTGGGATGTTTGTATGTTATGATAATAATTTTTATGACATTTTGGGATAAAAAGTCTATTATATGTGTTTGGTTTGCTTTTGTTTGAACTTGGTTTTAAAAACCATGCTTCTTTATGGTAAGGTGGTGGATACATCCCCAGAACTGAACATGCTAGCCAATCTGCCACAACAAAATGCTTTATATGCCATGAACAATAACTACCACAGTACACACATGCCTTTTGAAGGTTTAGTTCTCTTCTCCTATGTTTTGTGGTCTCAAATAGAAAAAAGATCAGTATTATCAGTTAGTTACCTTTGCTGTACTCTTCGTCTCAGGTATAAGTGACTCAGTAATGGCTCTTCTACAGCAAAACGCTCAAGCTTTTAGTCAAATTTCATACAACCTCTCCGCGTACAAAGTAATTTAGTTTTTTTTTTTGCAATCCTTTGTGGCTAGTTGCGTGAGAAGATTGATAATGTTTGATCCAGTTTCCTTGTGTTATACAGCCGCAGGATAACATCAGTATCTTTTATCAGGCAAGAAATAACATCAGCGCCATTCTGACTGAGTATGTGTGGATCTAATAGTAGATATCATACTCTAGACATTTCATTGGTTTTCTTTTCCTTTGTATGATCAAAGGTTTCAGTTGCTAAACTCTTACTTTTCTGCTTGCAGCATGAAGGAGATGCCTGGTGTCATGAGTCGGATGCCGCCTCTACCTGTTTCAGTTAACGATGATCTTGCAAGCCGTTTATTGCCGAGTACAACAACACAGGTAAAACAAATTTTGTTGTAGTGAGTCAAGTTCATGTTCTTTTAGTTTATCAATCTCAGCATTTCTCTTGGGAGCTGGTTAAGTTTGATGTTAAGTTGATTGTTTTCCTTGTCTCACAGCCAATACCATACACCATTCAACCAAACATCAACATGAAGCAAGAGCCGAGAAGTTGATGGAAGAAAGATGGATTTTGACAGATGCTAAAGAAAATAGCACATGTACTTGGTAAGTGGTAATGTTTCCGTGATCGACATGGCACAGACACACAAGGGTTTATGAAGTGCAGACACCACTCCAGATCTGGTGGAACAGTTGTGCTCTCGGGGTATGTGACTGAAAAGACTGAACTACAGGCCAAGGTAAAACTCTTTGGCTTTCAATAGAACATAGGATGATTCCTTGAAATTCATAACAGAGTTCCGGCATGAGTTGATGGAGCTCCAAAGCCTCTCTGATGTAATCTTGTTGACGCTTAAATTAGTATAATGAATAGTTAGTTCTTTTGTGTTTGGTCTCAAGAGGTTGCTTTTGTGTAATACTAAACATATGCTCCTTTCTTGCCCCTTTTATCTACTGATTGTGGTCATGAACGAAAGCCTCGGTTCCAAGGTTTCTATTAAAAAAAAGGTTAAAAGTAATAAAAACACCAGAGGCAGAGAGACAATGTTACAGAGATTTAAAAGATAATAACCTCCTAAAAACAAGATAAACCTCAGATTATATTTACATTTGTATGCAAAACGCAAAACGCTCACCACCAACCATTCTAAACACAAAAAAAAAACATTCTCTATAAATAACAACAAGTCTCCCAACACAAAAATTACCTTGGCCATTTTTTTTATCAACTAAACTAAACATATTTTAGATAAAAAAAAATGGCGGGTCGCGGCGTTTTCCAGCTGCGTTTCACAGTCGTGGCCGCATCCACCGCCGTATTATTAATCTTTATTTTCTCCAGCGACGTTGTGGATGCATCACGTGTAAGAAACATGTGCTCTCACACCGCATATCCATCTCTATGCCGACCTTTAGTGAAGCGTATCACGAATCCAAGACGAGCCACACAC